GTATTTGATCGTATATGAAAAACTATATAAACGGTTGTCGAGTACACCGTGTGCGCTGCGGCCTTTTAAAGCACGACCTAAAAAAATGCTGCTGCAAAAATGAAAATCTATGGAAACATGTGTAGAGTGTTCATCGTCATTTTGTATGAAATTTAACATGCACGCTCCATAATAATAATGTCAACTCTTTATTTCACAAATCTATCCTACCGTAGAGCCAGGCGCCGATTGAAATATGTAAATGAATAGGGTGGACGAACACGGTTGTATGGGGTTTTATATTCTAAGAACTAGAATCATTTTAATCGTTTGATTATCTTCACGGAATAATAGTTATAAAGTTGGATCATCTGTATTATTATTTTTAATATAGCGACATAGTAGTTAGAAAAACTAATTAAATAGTTGGCCTGACTGTTTATTTATGTGTTCCAACTTTACATTTTATCGTGTCCCATTTTTAACTACATATTTTTATCCGCACTTAATGATAAAGTATGCTTGTAAAATAAAACCAATCAAAATAATAGAGATTAGTCAATGAACGGGTCTCGTCCGGAACCCAGATAAGTTCACTGAATCAAAAATAATTTGTAAAATAAATAATAAGAATATATAACTAATGTTATTTCATATAATATTTATCCATATAAAAAATGCGGGTTGTACATTTTTGAGTCACTACAATTTTAGTTTTAGTCAAATTTACCTATTTAATTAACACATTTTTTATTTATTATTTGATAAATAGTATTAGCATTAAATTTATCGATATATACTTAAATTAATAAAAATTCACAATTAATTGTATCTGTGCAAAACAACAAGCGGTTACCAGGATTTTAGTAATTGGTTTAATTTGTTGAAATTAACAACGTTTTTATATTTAAATTGATAAATTCTTTATTTGGAGTTTGCTGATGAAAGTGTTAATAAACAAGAGTGATACTGTTGGATTTACTTGAAGGATTTGGTTCATTGTTTATTGCCTTGCGGTTAATGTTGTGAGTGTGCACAAGCATAATATACAAGGAAGTAGTACTGGATACATGTTTCGTGTATTACAATTATTGCGTACAACATATAAGGTTTTCGGCTTGCCTCATCAACGGTGCTTGCTGCTGATTAGTCGTTTATAAGGTTTTTTTTCTCTGCTCTCCTGCAATATCGTTTCAATGACTTAATTCAACCGACTACATTACATTGTGCAGCGTCTATTGTTTGGCTGAAGTAGTATAATTACATTTAGTGTACACATTTAATACTACCGCACGGAAAATGCAAATACCCCGCGATGTGTATGACATTTTTTTATTCATTCTCAACACGGAAGTAACATTTCGGCGGTAAAACACGACATCGTTACTCTTGTAATAAAACACGTGAGAATAATTACCTGCTGAGTATTATTTTATCTGTTCAAATGTTTCATTTATTGTCGCGTTCAGTTAACTCCCTTCGTAAATCGCCTTGTTGGTCAAAACGACATCACTATATCAAAATTAAAGCTAAAACTAAAAACAATTAAATTATTATATTTTTAATTAAATTTAATAAATGTATTAACAAATAATTGAGGTGACTAACGACGGGTTAATAACCGGTGGTGTCATAATATTTAATAGGTAATAGTATTTTCCATCGAACCCTGTGCATTTGCTATTGTGTTTCTTTCTGTTCCACAATAATTATGTTGTACCATTACCAACGGTTACACCATTTACCATACGTCATGATTCATGAAGCTTTGGGTAGATTTTTTTACTTTAAAAATCGCTAAACGCGTTGTAGAATGATATAAAACATGCCGATCTCTGTGTAATCTATGAATAACAGGAGGACTACGCTACCGGATGTTTGTTTCTACCGATTTAACGATACGCGTCCAAAAGATTATTATTGTTTGTTTTTTTTAATATAATATAATTTATAATTTTCAAAATAAATAAACAAAAATTCCTCGACCAAAATACTTATAGAGAGCGAAAAAAGGAATAACAAAATCGCAGTACCGCTTCTCTGCGCACTTGGCAATACGTATTAAACTACTTATATTTTATATTTGCCAAACGAACCATGCCGTGGTGCCGTATATAGACGAGATAGGTGCCTAATACATATGTATACATCGTGCTGATAATATTAATATGATTAAATATTAATCGATACCCGATGGGGATTTATCGATCCGATTCGTTAGCGTGCAAGTAGAAATTAACTTTATCTAATTCGACGATGATCGCATACAGGCAACCAGTTATGCTAAATAAAGAAATCTTATATTATTAAATGCACTTAAATAAAAGATGGCCGGTTCTCCTAATGCAAATAAAATGCAGATACAATATTCCACACCGCGTATCGATTTCATAGAATGCAGCCGTCTTTCTTTTTTAATACGATTCAAAGATTTCAATTAAATTAGAGAAGTTTTTAATTTCAATATCAAAGCGGCTTTTTTTTAGAAAAATAGAACACTTTTCACTGCCGTTCGACAGTAATGTATTGAGCAACATGTCTATCCGTCGTGTGCCTAACTACTAGCTACTTTCGCTTATAATTGTATTGTATCCGCTTATTTCTGAATCTGCCGGGCTGAGACGGACTGCGGGTGTTGATCTAGTACATTTTATACTGACGTGAAACAAAACAAAAAGTTTTTCAGTAACAGAATATTATTATGGGTTATATAAGTTGGACTAATACTATTATTATTAATTAGTTCCTAAACGCGCGTACGACTTCCCAATGTCGAACATAATGATTAATTTTGGCAATTTTTTTTCAAGTCATAATAGTTAATCCTTTTGCTGCGGATGACTAAAAAGGTACATGACCCGGTTTCGCTAGAACTAGTTAATTGTAATTGAATGGCTTACAAATTTGGAATCTCGCCGTGATACTTAATATTATTATTATTATTATTATTGTTGTTGTAGCTCTTGTCTGTCATTCCTACGATCATTATGCATCGCGCTACAGATCAGATGGCCTCTCAGCTGTCTAGCGTCCTAAAAAAACTTCTATCGTTATTTACCTATTAACAATGTTAATAATTAGAAGATAGACGGACGTTCCATTTTTAAACGTTAGTTTGTGATCCTAAATCCGTCGTTGATTGACCTATCTCGGGTTTATCGTATGCCACAGAGGTCGGCACCGAATGCGACGAATAATTAAGTATTATACAGTCAAATGGCAACATATTAATGTTGGAAAGCAGTCCAACCGATGCACCTTAACGCAGAGCGTAGATCTTTCACTTAACCCTCGTTAGAAGTCGACTCAGACTAATGCACTATTGCGCGTTATATTCCATTTACCCGTTAAATTCCGCATCCGCTTTTTATCTCTGAACTCGTGTTTGGACATCTACATCTCACGAAATCAGCTTCGCATCGAAGCTAAAATTGACAATATTACTATATTATAGTATGTTTGTAATCAACTGAGATTAGTCCGTATACAGTACAATAACATTTTTGTGTGCATCGTTTTTTAATCGGAGTTCACCGTTCAACATGTGTATACAGGGTGATTCTTTTATCACGAACCAGTCAATATCTCACTGGGTTTAATTAATAATTAACATTTTTTTTCTTTATATTGTTTTTATACAATGTGATCTCAATTTTGTTTGTTTTTAGCCCCCTCCCAACTTAGATTTATTGATAGCAACTTTTGAAAATTAAATGGTAACGTATATATTGTATTACCTTTTTAAATAGAGAATAATGTATTACACATTTTGACTGGTCGATAACCAATTTCAGATAACTATTTTTGAAGTTATAAGAGTTTAAAAACTAGGATGGGAGGGGAAGTGGAGTGTAGTATTATTTTTATCTGCGCGCATTTCCCAACCACACAAAATTGAGATCGCATTATATAAAAACAATATGAAAAAAAAAATGTTAATTATTAATTAAACCCAGTGAGATATTGACTGGTTCGTGATAAAAGAATTACCCTGTATAGATGTGTGCGTAACTTTTTTTTTTTTGTAAATATGCCCGTCCTTTGGAGTGTGTTAAAGAGCAGGGCAAACAGTTATTGACAGGAGTTCTCGTTGTCAACAATTCGTGTGTGTGTCTAACATTTTAGTACAAATCTTTTGATCGTGTATTGATAAGAAACAAGTGTAACGTATAAACAGCGTGCATCGTAGTTAATATATATGTATGAAACAAAAAAACCTATACTGGCGCCGGCCGCCAGAATTGGTGTGATGTATTTGCTCGTTAAATACAATGATGTTCCCTTAAATTTCGTATACGGTATACCGCTGCGGTGCTTTGTATACGGCTGATTGTAGGATCACGTTCAAGGTTTACCTTGGTTTAAGCCATCAATTTTGTTATAACTTATGATAATCTCCAGGCCAAATACTCTCATACGCCTGGACTTCTCCGAAATTACGCCGTATAGAACACAAAGTTAACCTACAAAAAAAAAATGTATATATATATTTATTTCTAAAAAAATCAGTTGACTGTTAGCGCGTCTCTTTAATAAAACGCATATTTATCTCCTCGCCTACGTGTGTGAAGTTAGCCCCCCCTCCACATTATCAAAATCAATCCAAACCAATTGTAAGTAATTGTAACCACGTTATAAAAATGTGTAACTTCTTACTTTCCGAGAAAAACGCAAATTTAAAAACTTACCCCAGCCCCTCCCTATTTTGTCCAAATAGTTCTCGGCTTGTTTTTTTTCTCTATAGTTTATATCATAATAGCGTAGAGCCGAATTTTACAGTGATCGTGCTATCGATCAGTGCGTTATAGTAACGATAATAATAATAATATTATTATTATTGTTGTGCTAAACGATCATTAAAAAAGTGTGTAGGCCGTTTGTATGTAAATAATTTATATTTAATGACACTCAAGCTCGTGCGCGCACTTAAACACTTGTAAAAATAATGACCCAAACGGCCTACCGTTGTAAATGCGCCACGAGTAATGTTTATTAACAACCTACATGTAATCTGTTTACAGAACTCTATACGTCACAATCTGTCGTTGCACAGCCGTTTCGAGAAGATCCAAAACGAGGGCACGGGCAAGTCTTCTTGGTGGCAGATCAACCACAACGCCAGCAAAACGACCGGGAAGTCAAGGCGTCGTGCCACTTCCATGGAAACGCCCAAGTTTGAAAAAAGACGCGGTCGCGTCAAGAAGGTCGTGGAAGCCATCAGAAACGGTTTACACCCGGAGAACACGCCTAGTCCTAGTTCTTCCGTCTCAGAAAATTCAGACATGATACCCGTGTCACCACTAAGGGGATTTCAGTTCAGGTCAGTAGTTTTCGAAAACTAAACGAAAAATCGGTCCGATTTTAGGATTCCACTATTATAACTTTTAATTCATTATTTCGAATTTCCGCACAAAGGTTACATACAAACTATTCGCATGACATTAATGCGATTACTGGTTGGGATACTATAACGATATCATTATTACGTTGACAAATAGTTTACATTGTTGATGCGCCCATTCGATCCAGTTACATCCATCATTTGAGTATATATTCCTCGGAAAGTCTATGATGACCTCGAGACAAAGGGATTAGAAATTGGTAGCGTTTGACGATAATCTTCGAAAGGGGTCTAATTATTCTGTTAAATATCTTGTGTGTGTAATTAGCATTTATATATATATATATATATATATGTGTATATTTGTATTTTTCAAATACAGTCCAGACTTCAGAGGACGAGCGTCGTCTAACGCTTCTTCCACCGGCCGATTGTCGCCGATATTCAGCGAACAGCTAAGTACAGCCGATTACGGCCTCGACTCTGTAGCGGAACAGGGCCAAGCCGACCAGCTGGCCGGCACGTTAGCGCAGACCGTCCGTCTGTCACAGCCCCTGCAACCATTGGAAAGCTACAGAGACGTGTTCTTGGACAACCGTCCGCCCCCTCCACCCTATAGCAGTCTACCGTTCCAGTCTTGTCCCATACACGGTTACCAAGGATGTTCGTGCTTCAACTTGAATCAACTCAACTCGGAAAACAACACGACTCCATACATCAAACAGGTAAACCATAGCGACCGTTAACCGCCTACCGCGGACGGTTCGATACTAAGTACCTAGATACTAATATTGTGACCCCTGGTTGTTGGGTTTATAGGAGGACTACAGCGATTACATCGATAATCAGCCGGACGACAACATGCCGGCAACGGTGGTCGGGCAGATCATGGGCACGTCGCATTTGTCACTCGACGACCTCAGCATAAACTTGGACAAGTTCACCCCGGTGGAATGTAATGTGGACGAGGTGCTTAACCACGAGGTCAGCTTGGGTGGTTGCTTAGACTTCAACAACTTTAATCCGCCCGCCCAACCGCAACCGACCGTGGCTACGACGCAAACACTGGCGTCCGTCAGCCACGATCAGTCTCCGTTCACCTCTGGTCATCATTGGGTACATTGAACGTGTCTAGTAGGTTCGTGTCTCATTTGTGGTCAATACTAAATTTTCCTGTCCGTTTTACGACTACCCCTCTCCCTTGTTTTTCTCTCCGACTTAGCTAGGTTGTCGATTTTTGCCTATAAACTGGTTGGATGAGTTAAATGACACTTACGTCTTCTTCTATTCTTGATCGAACGTAGATGCATTTTACATAAATAATGTTATCCGTATTAAAATGATTTGACATCTCGGTTTATCGAGTGACTTTTGTTTTGATAGTTATAACCATTGATTTGTTTTATAATTTTAATCAAAGATATAATATTTTATACGGTTTATGGCCCGCCTCTTTCTAATAGTTAACATGAATAAACCAAACGCCCTACAAACTGAAAATGGAGAACACAACTGCGGGTGGGTCGCCTTTTTTCACAAATTGTCAAACCCGGAACGAAGTAATTCATCTAGACTTCGGATTATGTTTTCATACGTTTGAGACACTTCCGGGGATGTTGACTTTATGTATGCGAGATCGTTTGTAACCCAATAGTCGGCTTTATGCGGGGGTATCAGTAATTTCGTTTAATAGACCCGTCGATGCTGCAGCTGTCTGCTTAGGGTACACCCACTAAAATCGCGTTGCTTCGAACCTCCGGACAAGTGGCAACGACTACGCGCAAGTTGTCAAATTTACACATAGCATCACCCGTGATACAACCATAACGTGTCGTAAGTCATGTGTCAATAAAAATTAATTCATATCATTACTAGTTTAATTAATTTGTGTAGTGCCCCCTCTAGGCCGGACGCAAAAAAAATCATAACACCTGTTCTCGTTACAGACGCACTCCGGTTTTTCTTAATAATATTTTTACTTGTTTTAATTACATAAGTTAAATTTGTTGTGTGCTTTTCTCGATTTTGAAGGAGAAGATATTTGAACTATTTGAATATTTGGTCCAATAAAAATAGCTTTCAAGTACGATGAAAATACCGTGGTCCAAAATCAAACAAAAATAACCTATTTCCGAGCGTTACCCGTAATGGCGCAGGCAAAAAACGTGTGTTTTGGTAGAAAATGATATTATAATTTTTTCGTTATAATTTTGATGTCGACGATGTTGAAAGAATCAAATACATTATGTTATTAACGTCGGGGTCGGTACAGGGTTCACCGGGCGATCGCAGTCAGAGGCGTGCTCATGACGTACCTCTGGCGTTTTTCACATGGTTTCAATAATTGTTGCTATTAGTATAAACAATATTTCAATCGCTATCGGAGCGGTTACGATGATAAGAACGACCATTAACGGCTAAGAAGTAGCTGTACTCCTTCCTTCGACCTCTCTCGGTCAGTCGGTCGTCGTGTCCACGACGTGTGCACGGTGTATTTTTTTCCCTACCCATTTGCTTTTAATAGTAATACACCGATATTACACATTATGATATATTGAAATACGACTTCGGAGAATGCCGAATGAACATCACGCTTAGGCGCTCGTCTAATCTCTTATAATACCTCCGATAATAATCGTTTTCTCTGGTTGCATCGCCGTTATCACGCTTTCTATTGGCACCGCTAATGATCAACGGAATTCTCTCTCAGTCCTGTGACGACCGTGTGTATGTATTTGTCGCAGTTGTGACTTGTCTTGCCCTCCAGCGCGACGGCTCTGTATATTATTATTATTATTATTATGCACTCTAGCCAACCCATATGTGAAATTACTCCGAGTGACACACATACACGGCTTTTGCAAACAGCTTTCCCACAAACCGAGACGTTTACTTACCACCGTGTTTTGAAATGTCCACGTGCCGTTGGTATTTTTGGTCAGTTACACTGTTACACCTCTCTCCCTCCTTTTTCCCTGTCTCTATCTCTCTCTTTCTCTGTTCGTCCGATTATGACGCAAAAAGTATAAATCCTATGTTTTGCTTTCTTAAAGCGAAAAATTATTTTATATCACGTTTTCGACAGTAACAGTAGTTTCGCCTCAGGCTCCTGCATTATTAATGTTATCGTTATCCTCGATACAATCACACGGTCACGGAGTACCTAGTTGTTATCAGACCGGTGTTTAAAATTAAACAAAAAGTACTTTATTTAAAAAAAAAGGGATTTGGCGGAATACATTGTTTTTCTTTTAGCGCTATAAGTAATTAATTGATTATGATCGTGTTTTTACTTTTGATTTCAGTTCAATCGCAACGAGATTATCCGCCATAATATAAGATATTCACAGGGAGACGGCTCGGGTCTATGAAAAACTATGGTTCTTAGCATCGTGTCTCCCAATTAATTAGTTTAAAAAAAATTATGTGTATATTATATATATATATATATTTACACAAAATATTGTTATTAGTTTGTTGCCGTTATATTCACAGTGTAATTTATAAAAAGGAAAATACGTTGAAATACTAAACAAGTCTTAAATACGCTATACATTTATAGTTATACGTTAAGTTTGACTTTGTGTTCGTTTTTTAACTATTTTATACATCCTACTGTACACTTTAGTTATGCTAAATTTAATAATATATTATATATGTATATATCATATTGTATGAGTGTAATATGATTTTGTTAACATAGTCTAATATTTGTTGTAGTTTTAAAGCATATTGTAACCACTGAATATCATGTTGTTATTTAGATATTTTATATAATTATTGTTATACTTGTACAAGTATACATTAAAAGTGTTTTTCAAATCAGCTGGCTATTGGCGCTCAAGTAATGCCACGTGGTAGCTGTAATAATAAAAAAAATAATAATTTACTCATTGTAGCGTGTAAGTTTGGATTGTTTGTAAATACGTTTGCTCGGCCACAAACAACAGTTTAGTCTTAAATATGAATAACACACGTATTACATACACCTTTTTACTTTTCACATTCATTTTTAATACGATTGATGATTTTTGTATACACGTTTTTAATCTGATTTTCATTTGTATATAATATTTATGTATAATATAATTATTGTAAAATAAGCTTTGCTTATACAACCTTTATAATGTAAAAAACATGTTTACATTTGTTTATCAATTGTGCATTAGTAACATGCTTTTTAGACAAAACTATAATAAATTAATGTGTCCCGTTATAAAATGTTAAATACAATTTTGTGCCATACATGTACACACTTTTAATTTTTTTTTTACAAATACAAATAATACAAATAGTAGACTACTTTTTTTTCATAACACTGTAAGTCTTTTTAATAGTTCTACAGCTGTTATTAAAAGAGATTGTACACAAATGAAACGTGCATAACAATGTTTTTTTTGTCTTTGAAATGAATATGCCAGTGCCTTATGATCTCAAAAAGATATACCTCTAAAGCAAACGTTATTTACGTAATTATTTTATATTGTGTACTTTACAAATACATTTATAATGTGTTTTGGGAAAGGGTGATCAGTGTAAAGAAAAACTTATGTATGTAACTGATTCAACAAGGGCTAGTGGCATTGTCTAAACAAGATCACCCTGAATAATATGTGTATATGTACGTATAAATAAAACTAAATCAATACTTAATTGATATTTACATATTGTATTTGATATACAAAAGGTTAATGGATGTGTAAAAATATATTATTATTATTATTATTATTATAACTGTCTTTTTGTAAATACAACGACGAGAGTGTAGACATTTTGTTTGTTTGTTTTTTTTTTTGCACAATTGTTATCCGTTTCAAGCTCAATATGTATAAACAATTTTAGTGTGCTTAAAAAAATGTGATAAGTTTAATTTCGGGAGAATTATATTTGTACAAGGTATATAGTTGAAATGGAAGAATGTATTTTTTTTTTAACGCTAATGAAAGTGATAAATAGAATAATTTTGTTTTAGCTATTCTATTATTAAACTAAATGAAATGATATTGTCAACATTTTATAAGATCAATAATATTATTATTATTATTTGTTATGTTGTGTCTATTAAAAATAATTAACGACAAACCGTAAAGAGATTAATTAAACTTTTGGAAACGTGTAATATTATTACTGTTGTTGCTTCATTTTAAAACGTGTCAATTTAAAACGGATTATTTATTGTTACGAATTTGTGGATAATTTAATTAGCTGATATTTATTTGTTTTTTTTTTGTCATTTCGTAATATATTTAATTATTGTAATAGTGTAAATTTGAATGATTAATAAAGTAAACTGCCTTTGTGATTAAAAAAAATCTGTATGAATTTTATTATTTAAACTTGTTTATTAATAAATATCACTTGTTTTGATTTTTCGGAAAAACACGCCCACGGTTGTGTTTTACATGAAAAATCTTTATTTAGTTTACAAGCAAATAGTTTTTAAGCTAAATAATAATGTGTAAGCCTGTTGACCAATTAAATCAAGATGGAGTCTTGTACAAGTTAACAGTTGCCTGTAAATTTGTATAAGTAATTATTTTGTTTTAGTAAAAGCTTAAATGGTTTTAATATATTTTAGAGTATTGGTACTCTTTGTAACAAAATAAAAAGATATTCGGCACCTTATGTTTACATGAATTTTGCATTATGTGGCTACTGGTGTTTTTTTATAAGAATTATATAGAAACCTATTGTTTTGTCATTTTATTTACATCTAATACTTCTTTAAATAAAAAAAGTTTCTTTAAATCTCTGTTTGGTCGATTTTGAACAAATAGAATAGGTATTACAAAACAATACTTTTAGTTAACAAATATTTAACTACAATATGATTTTATATTGAATGTTTAAAAACTATATATTACCTATATAAGTATATAAGCTTAAAAAAAAACAATGTCACTATAATATGATAGATTTAACAAGTTCATACATAGTTATGAATGCATAACAATTATTTTGGCATCGACCAAGCTACAGCAACGCTCATTTTTTATTTATGTGATTTTTAAATGTTTATTTAAAAAAGGTATTTCGGTGACTATTAAATAAATTATTACCTAATATTTAAACTTCACCATGCTGATTTAATACGATATTGTACAACCAATCACGAATTTTCTGATAAAACCTTTTCTCTTCTAAATCCCGTTTTTAGTAATACGATATCTCCCTACACCCACAATAAGGGCGTATAGGTATTATTCCCCTCAAAATTAAAAATTTGACATTGGTAGGCGATTAGTATAAATTTATTTATTTACTATATAATTTTTAAGCTATTCAATTTATACTCAATTTATATTTAGGAATATTTGTTGCAAGTAACAAAATATAGACAGAAATTAGAAGTTATCTAAAATATGCAATGACTAGTAAGGCTTTTATACTTTTGTGCATTAAAATTGATAAGGCGTAAAGGAAATTTCCAATAGCCAAAGTATCATCTATTAATGTGATTACTAATGTATAGTTAATGTTTCAAATCTGTCTAGTAGGTATTATCTATTTCTAATTATATTTGTTGTTAAGAGGGCGTCGCACCGCCCATTTCTAAGGAGTAAAGTATAGGCAATTATTTACAAAATCTTAATTTAAAGGTTAAACTGTAATGTGTAATTATTAATTCAATAACTAGGACTTTATTTTGGTAGTTACCTTATTTTTTGGATTATCACAGCATCCTTAAAAACGATTTAAAAATGTTTTTTCATCTTAACTTGTTTAAGCAGACTGAAAATAATTGGCTTAATTTTGGTTTTAGTGTAAAATCACCCATTATAAAATTAAAAGAAAACATTATTCCGGAGGGCAACACGGTGCGTGTTTTTCATTATTCCAAGTATAACGCTCAATACATAGTTTAGAAATAATGACTATTTTAACATTTTTAAATGACTGTAACTTTTCAAAAAATGAATTTTTTTTAAAAAACGCACCGTCTTGCCCCCCGGAATATTGTTTTCTTTTAATTTTATAATGGGTGCTTTTACTCTAAAACCAAAATTAAGCGAGTTATTTTTAGTCTGCTTAAACATGTTTTTACCACTGAGAATGGTGGTGCGACGCCCTTTTAAATGTAAGAAGTATGATACATTTTTTTTTGTTGATGATTCCCAGTGTTATTACTGATGATTTAGACTTGTCTAAAATTACATTTATTTTTTGACCGTAAGAATGGCAACAAATTCAACTGCAACAAGCCACTACAAAATGTGACTTTCACAAAGTTCAAGTTGTTACTTGGCACTACCGAAAATGGCATGAACACCAATGGTGTTACACCATTGTTGGTGGAATATTTTTGGACACTTACGCGGTGGACATGTCGCTTAATATTACGCCGAACATAGTAATTTACGATCCTCTCTTGTTAATATATTTATATAGTATTATGTGTATGTGTAATGCATATAATATATATAAATTACCAATGTCTATAATGTTAAGTATTCTAAATTTTAAACACAATTTCCTCGAAATTCCTTTTTCCATACACGATAGAAAGAAATGTATTTCAACTTATTATTGTTGATATTTTATTTTAGTTTCTTACTAACTCTTCTAGATCAACCTAAAAAACAAAAATATATACAAAATTAAGTTTTGTTTGTAACAATTTAACTTTCTTTGATTTTTATAAATTTCAAGAGTCATAGTTTAATTCAAAATGTATTACAAATTACATGATTATTATAAAACAAATTTTTAAATAGGAAACATAGAACCAGCAATTCTTCCAACGGGAAGTGCATTAAGGACTTTAAAGTGTCGCCTAAGATTGGAAAATAAAAGAAATTCAGAAATATTTGACTGCATCAGAAATAATGAAAACCAAAGAAGATTTTAAAGGATGTTATAAACGTTATGGGTGATTTTTTTTTGCATTATCACATTGGTCATCAAACACATTTATATCGAAGTTATTACCATCATAATGAGCATTCACGATTAATTATTAACGCTGCTAGCAGTATTGTAAACAATTAAAACAATTGTAACAATAAAAAAACAACACGTTATACTTTTATATGAAGCGTTGTAAAAATACAAAGCTTTACATTAACTAATATACTTAGTGAACAGCACAGCAACGTAACAATTTTTTATTGGCTTTCAAAGTGGGTTAGTAATGAATAATGATGTTCCTCGACCAAAAGAAAATATTTGAGATCAGTCATTGGCGTTATTATCCACAGTCCACAATAATATAATGCTTCATATAATATTCGTCCCTTCAGGAATATATAAATGTTTTTGCTAGTTTGATATTAGAATATCTTTTTTTTTTTATTTATATTGACTTCCAAAATGTTTTGTAAGGATTAATGTCCTTAAACAGGTACTTCAACAGGTTTTATAGACTTTGAAGAAAATTTCAATGAAATTATAGCTACAGCAGAGACTGAAGACGAAGATCGTGAAATAATTGAGAGTAAATTTCAATTTCAATTACACGGACTAGATAATTACGATAATCTTTTTCTGTAATGGGCACAAGAGATATTTGAGAAAAGTAAACAGACGTTGCACGGAGGAGCTGGAATTAATCCAATGTATTTGCCCACTTTAGTTCTTCTTATTATTAAATGTGTTAAACTTCGCCATATTGGCCTAGATCAATTACCTTAATATTAGTATCATTGATCTAGACCAATATGGCGAAGTTTAACACATTTAATAATAAGAATTTGAATACACTTATCCTAACCTAATTATAAACTAATTGTGTTTGCATTGCAATTTTTATAAGACACATAACACATTTGTATACTATTGTATGTTTGTGGTAACTAATTTTATTCGATTTTAACATTATTCTTTTCGGTTGTTTAGAAAATTAATGCACTTTTAAGTTTGTACATTATTTCTACCCATACTTAAAATGTCCATTACAGAGCAAAGGATTATTAAAATATAATGTTATAGTATATTATGATAAAGGTTTAAATAAAATCTTTTTTATATTAAATGATAAAACATTTTATTTCGTGTATTTTAACTAAAAAATATTTTTTTAATATTTTGTCATGGTCTCATAGGGTAAGTTTATAATTTATAATTTGTTGGTGAATACTCATCTTCATGGTGTTTATTTGCAACATGATCACATACGTGAAATGGGGATGGACCTTGCAGACTATGATTATACTTAATATCATATACAATTATTTATAGGGACAATTATTATAATAATTGACAGTTGTTTATAACATTCGAAAAATGTTGCTGTATTTTAATATCAAATGTTTTTGGAAACATAAAAAAAAAATCGTTTGTTTTTTCCCGTTAGTGGACTAGAAAATGTGGTCTTATTTGCACTCATGTTGAGTCAAGTTAGACATGCGTCTAGTAACTAGTTTACCAAAAAAAAACGGAAACTTGTCGCTTTCTATTTTTTTTAATATATATAAAACGTAGTGCCTACATAACTAAGCAGTAAGTTAGTAGTAATATTATTATTATTTATATGAATGCTATGATATTTTCGAGGCAAGTCGGCGATGGTAGCGGATAGTGTGGGGAGCTACCTACCGGCAGTTACGGGTCGTTCGCCTTCGTATGGTGGCTCACCCTATTGACACAACTTTAACGCGTTTCCGCCGCCGGTCTCGCGGAAACCAAAAAGGGTCGGTAGTAATCCCAGTCGGCCAGCAGCATTTTAGCAGTAGAACACAACCGGTAGCGTTGGTGCAGTTATAGTTTTTTGATTTGATTTTTTTTTCGTTTTTTTTTTTTAATTTCCGATTTTTATCAATCTCCAAACGCATACCGGCGAATACTCGTACCCAATCGCACACACTATAACGCCCAACATTACTAATTGATATTTATATACTTGGAGTATAATAATAATAAGTAATCGTTATATTATATATACTCGTTAACTTAACTATATTATAAAAATATTTATACATATAAATTTATAAATTTATTTTTATTAAATACATGTATTAATTACGCGGTAATTTGCAAAATAGTTGTTTTTCATTTAGTGTTTTTAGTCGTTTTATTTTTTCTAATATTTGTTTTAGTCTTGATAACCGTATAGTATAACCGCAATTCCAAAAAATATTAAACTCGTTCGCGTTCGTTTGTTTATGTATCTTTAAACATATTAAAATATAGCGTTATATAACCATCTAAGCCACATCGTGCTACAGTAGTTTTTAGTTTCGATATTAGTGTGGTTCGTTAATCAACCCAGATTGTTAAAAAAAACCTGCCAGAGAAGCGGAAAAACCAAAAGCCATTGACGTAAGTAATTGTGTAGAGTAGTAACTTAGTTTTTGAATAGGTTTCAGTTGGAGTGTATAATATAAACCGTAGATAATATATCGTTGGTAATTAGAGCTTCCTGTTCCCATTGCACTTACCGTTAAGAGGATGCCAAACCACCCGTAATTTATCTGTTGAAAATGGTTTCGCGCGGGACAAACTTACAGAGATAGTATTCATTTAGCCTTGTCACAATGTTAAATTATGTAGAGAAGAACTTTATCTATGTCGTAGCGCTTTTTTTTCGATAACTTAAACAAAATCCAATATGTTAACTTATAAAAATTCATTTTTTTCACGTGTCTATTAAAAATTAACGAGTATTCATTGGGGAAAAAAAACGTTACTACAAAGATAATGATATCTACTATATTGTGTTGTACAAATTTGATAAATCTATTGTGAATATTGCCCTCATAAATTTGTACTGCGTAAATTTTGCGCAATTTAAAATTAAAAAAAAAAAAAAAATTGTAATTTTTCCTATAGAGATTACTTGGGATGGTCTGACACAAAAATAACAAACAGTTAGGCTCGTCATAAACGTTTTAATAAGAATACACTATAATTAAAGTTCTAAATAATATTTTGCAAACAATTGCCTATACAAAAGGTCTTTATAAATGGTTGATTAGCGTCCTCTTTAATGGAATGCGAAGAGACTGCGAACAACGTGTACCGATAGAAAAATATTGTTATAGAACTGGAATATATAATATTAAACAATCGATTAAACAAAATAATAATAGGCAACGTTATAGGCCAAACGTACTCGCAGCCCAGGGGCGCGTTGTGACTTGTGCGACGCACAAAAGTTACCTATGTTTATATTCATCGTGTGCCACCATTGGGGTCTTTTCAAAGAGTAGTTTCAAACACCCGGCAAATTTCGCTATACTCGCTGTTAATAATTTGGTATCACTATCGTCTATCACATTATTATAATATAATCATAGATACTACTACTGTGATGGCTTTGCCGTCATCTTTGCAGCCAAAACAGTATATTATTGTTATACATGCGAACGGCCGGAAATTGAAAAGTCGAGTAGGTATGAAAACGTTTTGGCAACGAGTCGATACTTTTAAAGTGGTTGGAAAAATAAAATTTAACGATTCACTAACCCCTAAACGTGCTATTTAATGTGGAACCTGATATATAATAATATTATTATTATTATGTGCTTATTTTCTATGTGCTATATTATGGGCAATTAACTTAGTACCAGAGCCTTGCGACGTTTGAAAATGTATAATGCTATATATGTATATATATAAGTATATATTTGCACGTTTTTAATAACTCATTTTCCCAAACAAGTACGTTTATGATATTTGTGCATTATGCCGTAGATATTGTAATTTTCCAAAACTAAATTGCTATTGTTATCTCTAAAACAATAATGCGTTTTTGTTGTTGTGGATATTATATACACGTCGTTTGAAAAGTTGTAGACTAGATTAATCTTGTTTATACCAACCGCACAAATGAAACGGCGTATTGATAATTATAAGAAATATTGGCTTTTTATAAAACAGTGTGTTTCATTATGTTCGAACAGTTATTATACTACAGTAGATATTAAAAATTGTTGTCATGCTAATGTTATACATTATTACAAAAATTAAAAAAAAAAAAAAGAATTAATAGTGGCTGGTATCACGATAGTCAGTCAATCCTTCCTTAGAGGAGCAGGATCCTATAATGACATAACAATTAAAACATGACATTGCACTAATCCAAAAATATATGAAAAAGAAATATTCAGAATAAACTATGAAGCTAGTTTAGCATTATGTTAGATTAAAATATATTGGAATAAACAAAAATACACATTCATAGCGGAGCTAAAAAGTTGTTGGTTTTACAATGATGTGTGTGTTTCTTTTAATTCAGCTCTAAGCTCGGTATAAAAAACGTAGACGTCAGTTGGAAGCAAGAGCGAATCCAAAATGAAGATGTGGGACAAGCAAAAAAAAATATGTAAACGTGATGTCATGTGTAAACGTCAAGGCTTTTCTTTTGATGTCAAATCTTTGTAGTTACAACGGTACGGCACCGAGTATAACGGCACTAGATTTAAAGGAAACGTTATTGTTTCCTAGCTCTCATATATTTGGTCATTCCTTATACAATCGAGTGGTTTAAATCATGTAAAAAATTTATTTTTTGTTTGCTATATGTTTTGCACACAAGTTATTCATTAATAAAGTAACAAAATGCATGCTAACGAATGTTGACTTTGTAAAATTATAAAATAACGAAATTCCCTTTTGCTCACTCAGAGAATAAACTTGAAATGCGTGTTGATTTTTGTTTGTTTTATGAAAATATATACTGATAGAGTCAGTTTTTGTGTAATAAGTAATTCATAATATTAGTCGACTATAAAAACTCGTATCTACACAAACTATCTATCAGTCTTCGGTAAAAAATATAACAGGTCGGGTGTTTTTTCAATTAACTGGACGTGACAGAATGAGGCTGTTATCGTTTTGGAAAACATAACCGTGTTTTGATGGATGATCCACAGTGTCGCATGCTTTTGATGTCGGGCTTTGCACAACAAAATTAAGGAAAAAGAAAAAGGTTGAACTTCACTTTTCAAAAAAAAAAAAGTTTATACGCTTTCCTTACAGGTGAAAGAGCTTTATAAATACTTACTTTTTTTTATTTTACAACTCGCTTGTGAACGACTTGTGTGTAGGTTATCGACACCCAGATAACGTTATGTTTAAATCAAAGTCAAGCGTCTTTTTTTAATTGAAAAATTATCTTAAAATCCCCAATTACTATTCGGTATGCGTTATACAAGGCTTACAACGACGTTTAAGATATAGAACTCCACTAGAAACACAACAAATTTAGAGTTGTTATTGTTATTATTGTTGCTCAGTCAACTTGATCGAAAAGTGAATTCTTATCCATAACCCGTGATACCGATCATTGTCATATGTTTCGACCCAATATCGTTTTTAGAAGGGTTATGCGGCGTAAAAAGACGTCAAAACAATTAAGAAGCGCACATCTCGTCAGACGTTTGATGGTATGTCTTGGTTAGAGGAGGAGGAATATATTTATCGTAAGTTGCTCACTTTCGAAAAAAATTTTACTGTGCTGCAAAAAGTTGTTTTTGTACAACTTAACAAGGGTGTATGAAGTTTTCACCCTCGAAATGTTGTCTACGAGTGACTTAAAGAGCCTACACCGCTTAATCCTAACACCTTTATAGGATTTGTACGTAGTCGTGACCTCTAAATCTTGCAGACCCGCATCACTTGCTAACGATACCTCGTTAACATGCCCTTACTATTGTTTAATTCATTACACACTCAACAGGAGAACTAATTATCAATAATTTCTACAAATTAATTATAAACAAATAATTTGTTAGTTATGACGAAAGTGAGATTAACAACTATTATCGGCAGACTAGTTAACAAAGAGTGTAACTCCAAAAAAATTAATTTTCAGTATGTTACACCATTTGAAAGAAAAAAAATGTATGCGTCGGCTGGTGTAATAACGAAAATATTGTGTGGTGTTTTTCTTTCATGAAATATGTGTAAGTAAATTGAATAAATTTAACGTTTTTTCTTAGTGAAAAATTTGGTATTTTGGAGTTACGCCCTTTCCTAACTATTTTTTTGTACTTAAAACCCATTCAATATAGTATTATTATAGTTCAATTTAGTCATTATATCAGTAGAACCATGGTATCAAGCAAATACATATTTTCTAAAAACGAAAATTAAACACACTGTCAACTGTTGTTTAGAAACAGGCGAAACAGATGTAACACAATGACACCTTAAAGTGGAATAATGGGTTTTAATATTCGCTTATGCTATATAGTTAATGCTTTGGAGGTCTTAATATCAGGTAGAAGAAAAATTAAACATTAATAATTATTAATCATCTATTATAATTGATAATAACCTGTTAACTATGTTAAACATTTTAAATTGGTTAATTTTTTAACAGTTATTAATTAATTTTTAACACACGGTTTTTAATCAATCTACGATTTGTGCAGTTTAACATAATATTATAAATTGACATAAAAAAAGATTATACAAATAAAAAACCAGAGAAAACCGAGAAATAATATTTGTTTTTATTGTATTTATTATAATATAATCGGTACATTTAATTTTGACTATACATTTGTTTATAAGAGTGTTCTTTTAAAATATATTGGGATCAAGCAATTTAATAGTTTATTCATTATTAAATTGTGTTGCATTACATTATAGAATCAGTAATATTTTATGATGTAGAACATATTTCATAACTAATTCTAAACTGGAAAGAAAACTGTATATCTTTGTTTTTATTCTTAAAGTGTTTTGAAACTCATGAAACTTTGGACAATATTATTATTTATTAGGAAATTCTCGAGAACTTGAGTGTATAAGTAGAGAAAGTTTTAGTATAGTATATAGTTTCGTATTATGTTGTATTTGATAAAAACTAGGCCTTTTTTCTAGTTACTAGTCTAATCATTGAACATTCGCCATTCTCACACCGTACAGAGTAAAAGAAATAAAAAACTTAGCTAACTTGTTTAAATTTGTTGGTGTCCTTCCGTGACGTTCTGGAAATCGCTGTGATTTTTCGTATGGCATTTAGTGAGTACTTGTTGATAAGACTAGTCGTTAGCTGTTGAATTCGTGTCGTTAGTATGCTTTACAATTGTCTGATGTATGACCAACAACACTGCAGTACGAGCAAACATTGATAGTGTACACATGATGTATACGCATTCGAATTAAAAAATTCTCCATTTTACATCGCGGCATTCTTTATATTAAAAGTATTTGCGCATCATGACATATTTAAGTTCAGTTAAGAGGAAATCGGCCATTACGCCACGGCTAGACAATTGCGCGAACAGCTGCCGCGTGGGGTCAACCGTTTCGTAATGTCATTTATCTTGCGGTGCAGGCGCACGGGCTTACTATGGTCATCTCCCTGC